CCATAATAGTAGTTGCACCATCAGGTGGCAACCCTAATTCGGTTAGAAGCGCTCGCAACCATATTACTTCTCTAGTTGTGTGCGCAAGGGCCATATACTCTGCTTCCATAGTGGATAGGGCTACGGTGGGCTGTTTCTTTGAACTCCAAGTAACAGCTCCCCCTGCATAGGTACAGACATAACCAGATGTTGATCTTCTATCTGTTCTGTCTTCTCCCCAGTCTGAATCTGAATAAGGTATCAGTTCATCTGTAGTCCCTCCATATGTAATTCCTAAGTCTAGAGTCCCCTTCAAGTAATGGAAAACTCGTTTGAGGGCTGTGACATGCTCAGCAGCCGGATTCTGCACATATTTGCTTAATTCCATGACAGCGTGTGCAATATCATCAGTAAGTTCACCTCCGTGTGGTATGCATGGTATGCATGGCTTGTATATTAGATTTTGAGTCATGCATACCCATGCATCACCATGCCCAAATAATTTAGCCATGCAGACCACACTACCATGCAGCGGTGGTATAGTTGCATGGCTGCTATCCAAATATATTTCTTCTTGGCTGCATATAAGTTTAGCTTGGGACTGGTTTTCTTGTGCAGAAGTCCTCATATTTCTGGGTGTTCAGACACTGAACTGCCGAAGAACAACACTTCAGATATGTGTGATGTCATTGGGCATGGGCCGGGCCATGTTGCAATCACGTCATCTGATCACGTGCATGTTGAACTTGCGAAATTTGATCATTCAAAACTTGATCTCTTTCTTCCTCCTCCTCCTCTTGGCTTTTCCTTCTGCTAACACACAGCTCCTAGGCAGCCATTCTGTCGACCTCCACTGTTGCACTGTATAGCTTGGTAAGTCATTTTTAGCATGGATCTCCTCAGAGAAACTAAGCTTCACATCTCACGCTAGTCTAGCACGTTCTCGCTCCATCGCCGTTCCATGGCTCTCTCTTCCTAGCAGGCCGGTAACAATGCCTTTGCCAATGATGCTGGTACTACTTTGTGAAGGTCTGGGACTTCGTATGGTCTTGAATTAAATGTGGTAGTGCCGATAGCTTGTCAAGAAAGATATGACGGATGTAGAGGTGCGCATATTCTCTACAAGTTTGATCCTGACCTCATCTGCTGTTCTGTCTTGGCAATTCATGCTACGCAAGGTCCAGTCAGCGTCACAATTTTCGAGTGCACCATGCACCATACGTTATGGCCGGAAGGTGCATATTAATTTTCCTGTATACAATACCCATGCACTCACCCAATTCCTCATAGTCTGCCCCAGCCTAATCTCCGCAGAGTGGGGTGCTAGTATAGACGATGGTTTTCACCCATGGGTGAACGGGCAGGACCGTGATGTGTATTGCATGCTAGTTATTATTCTATACTACCCTGTATTATCTGCATGCTAAATAGAACGAATTTTAATTTTCCACTGCCTGATTCAGACCTGGAATTGATATGAAATTAAGTGGTGTAGCGGCATGGAACAGTCTGAACAGACATGGCACACAACTGCATGGTTAAGTATAATCTGCTATACAAGGTGCATAGAATTACGTAGGTACCTTATAGAGTCATGCACCTGTATAACGGTATAGCTTGCGTGATTCGCATGGTGCCATGCATACCATACGGATGTTAACTTACTGATGATCGGGCCGGGATCCATTTGCCGCATACATCAGAGATCCGACACCAGTGTGGTAATACTGTCTGGTGGCTGTGTCAGTGCCTCGGGAATCACCTTCGGGGATTTTCTCTAGCCGTACATTCGGGTCCATAGGCATTTTGACCGGTTTACAGTCTTTCATGCCCATTCTCTCGAGTACCTTGAGAATATATGCCTTCTGGGATAAGGTAATAGTGCCCTTCTCCCAATTTCTGTCTATCTTCATGCCCAATATATGTTGAATCTCCCCCATGTCTGTAACATTTAACTTCTTCTTAAGTTCTTCTTTCATGTTAGACATGGTTTCATCATCCTGGGCAAGCAGTGTCATGTCATCTACATGCACAGCTATAATTATGGGGCCTGATTTCGCTTGTCTGATGTATACACATTGATCATTGATCAATCTTGTGTATCCAAGTCCCAAAAATGTAGCGTTTAATTTTTCGTTCCAAACTCGGCCAGATTGCTTGAGTCCATATAATGTCAATTTGAGGTGTGCTGCCTTGCCGCTTCCATCAGGATATTCTGGCGGTTGAGCCATGTAAATAGATTCATTGAGCTTTCCATTTAGGTAAGCTCCGACGACATCCATTCCATGTATAATCAAGTTTCTTTGTGTGGCAATGGCCATAAGTAGGCGGAATGTGTCCAGCCTGACAACAGGTGCATATGTCTCGAAGAAATCAATGCCGGGAACCTGCGAAAATCCTTTTGCAACAAGTCTGGCCTTGTATCTGGTGATTTTCCCATCACCATCCCTTTTTAATCTATAAGTCCACTTGCAATTTACAAGTGATCTGTCCTGGGGTAATTCCTCTAACTGCCATGTACCCAGAGAAGTCAATAGATTATATTCTTCATCCATTGCTTTCTTCCAATGATGCCAATCTGGCCTTGTTTTGGCTTCTTCAAGGCTTAATGGCTCATCACTGAGGTTATCTGCAGTCTCCCCCAGACATGCATAGTCTGCTGCTATATTTGCAGTTTCCAAAGGTTCCTGTGACATTTCACGCTGCAATTCCGGCGGTTTCGTGCCTCTTGCAGCTGGATTATTGAGCAACCGGTAAATTGGTTGATTGATTGATGCGATCCGGACCGATTTGGTACGTGGCTCGATCACCTTCCCATGCCAAATGGGAAGCTTTGATTTGGTTGCCGGGGCATCAAGGGGCATTTCCCCTTTTGATTCGGCAATTTCGGCAGCCGCGGAATCATCGGAAATGTCATCATTTCCACCTGGAGTCTGCTCGACATTGTTCCCTAACTCCCCCTCGAGCGACGAAGGGTGGGATACAATATAGTCATTGTCTGTAGGCTCTTTAGTGTTGTCTCCATCGTGATTTAGAGGGTGCCGTGAGTTCTAAGTGTGTGGTTAGGACTCAGGGAAGAGAAGGAGGTGGCAGCAACACTCAACAGCTTTATATCCTGGAAATATATTTCACAACATGATACGGCCATGACGACAACAAGCAAGAAATCTTCCTTCAGCAGCTTTTCCTTATTTCGTAGCTAAAATTTTCGCCGATGATTACTGAATAAAAAAAACAGCCATGTACGGCAAGCCGAGAGAAAGGGGAAGGTAGACGTACGATCCTTCATTGTTATCCTTACCAGAACGCTACGACTGAGTAATTTATGCAACTTATCTTCCAAAATCAAGTCTGTGCTCTTCGAAACAGTCGCTAGTATCAGGTCTTCGGAACGGGCCTTAAACGTCGAAATCGATTCCACCCTTTGAACGGTTGCGTTTATCTAACGACTGACAACTCGAATTTCCGTGAGGGGAATTTCGGTTTCACTAGGACTGACACTATCGTTGCCGGAGCTCCGGAATGGAAACCTGAGGACCTTGGGGAGTATCAGATTCTCGGTGCCCTGTCACTGCTTCATACCTCCTTCGCGAATTTTGTCTAGAAGCAGTCAGCTTGGAGCGAGATCAGGCCATAGGAGAAGGACACACATGGCTAGTAAGGAGTTAACGTATACTGACAATTATCCTATCAGCCATTATCAATACTAGATGGTAAGAAATGAACCAACGTTTCGGCAATACAAAATCTATGGAGAGGAAAATCAGACAATCGGGTCATGCGAGATACTAGAGATCCAGGATGGATCCAGTGGATAACATGCCGAAATAAGAACAAGCAGCGAAAACACGCTGTTAGTCTAAGATTAGTAAATCTGCATGAGGAAGAGCACATTGCAGTTACCTTGTAATCACCCCCGATATGAAGACAAACCGCATTAAAACCAAAAGAGCGGTAGACATGCTGCGATAAATCCAACTTCGAAATCATAAATTCACAGAATGGAATCGCCCACCGGGAGAATATCGTGGCGGCCCTGCTTTTGTATAGGTAATAACACATTGAGAGCGCAAAGACGGCGATGATTATATCGGCTATCACCACAGAAGAGAAAAAAGCATAGACCGATGTACTGGACTTTAACCTCTTCAGTGGGAAGTGAAGCGAATGTCCTTGTAATATACCTAGATCCAGCTTTTTAGGGCTGCGAATCCCCTCTACACTGTGGAAGAGCTGGAGAATTTGTTATCACCAGCAATCTGAGATAGGCCAACGTTGAAAGCGGTTGCCTGCGCGTCCCATTTGAAGCAATCTTTCCGCCTAGTCACCATGGCAGAATACTGGATATCCTTCAATGGCTATTTCGTACCCTAGTTAAACGTTTCCAACGCAAGAGTTGTAAGAGAGGTCGGAAATTTTCATCTGGAACGCTTGTTCGTAGCATTTAGTTATTCTCTGAATAATTTAGCTAACATTATGCCTTTCCAGAGGAACTAACCGTTACATTTCTTTTAAGGAGCACCGACGACTAATAAAACCAACTTCCTTCCTTCCATCATGAAGAGCCAGCTTTCATATGATGCCATGTTTCAGATCTCGTGGAACGAGGTCTTCACGCTCAGATTCGTCGTCGAGTCGAGGTCGAACATCATGCACCATTCACTAGGGCATTTATGTCAAAGCGAAGCACCATAAAAAGAGATCTGTTTCCTTAAAACTCGGAGGCGTAACTCGTGAACATCGTTCCTCCCATACCTGCGTTCTGGTGGAATGACCAGAGCTGAACCTGAGGAAAACGCTACGATGCTCTAGACGAGTACTACATTGACGCTTGAATTGAATCTGCATTGGTCCGTGCCTAGGTTACGACATCCGAAGCTCATGACAGGCGCAAATCCTGCTACCCATGAAACTCGTCTGCAACAGTCACTAGAGGTTGGTCCCGGTGTCCTATGAAGGGATTCGAAGCGAAACATTTCTTGGAGTCCGACTGAGCATGGAATACATCTTGGATGACGGTTGCTGATGCGCCGCGTGACGAATGGAACTCTTGATAAGACACTGTTACATTCCAATATCACATATACAAACTACAGCTTCGTCCTGGGGGCCTGATTGTCACGACTTGGAAGACCCATCAGTCGAATATCGAATGTCTCCCCGCATTTCTCACTTATAACTAGTCTTCCTAGGAACAACCCCAAATGCAGGCCCTCCCTTTCCAAACATCTTCCTCACATCATCAACCAATTCTTGAGGTTTTTCATGAGCCGCAAAATGCCCACCACTAGTATGCTCAGATTCAAAAACGATGTTACCGGTAGTACGAGTCCAGATGTGATGACAAAACTCAGTACGAATTTGCGTTTCAGGATATCCGAGATACTTACATACGAGGAACGGTTATAGCTTCCTTCGGGAAGTACGACAAGCCATAGGGAATAGTGGGGTTTTGTCCCAACACGGACAGGTCGGATGAGCCCAGAACTTCGTAGTAGATGCGTATGGACGCCGTAGGTCCTGATCTCGAGAACAAATAGATCGATATCCACGTTAAGACTGGAAATAATACGCGTCTTTAGACGAGGAGATGGAGAGGAAGTTTTGGGCAGGCCCACCTTCATCATCATCCCAAGGATACGCATCCGTCCCGCTCACCAACTTCTCATAAATCCACGCAAGAAGACCTACCGGTGAGTCGGCGAGCGAGTATCCCAGTGTTTGGGGCTGAGTAGACTGTTCCGCCAAGTAGCCACTTCTTGTTTTGTTATACCTCTGTGCCTGCGCCAACCCGGCTTTCTCAGCGGCTGTATACGGCGTCAAGAGGTGGCGAAGGTACAGTATAGGCTCATAAAGTGTCGGAGCTCGGCCCCTGGCGAAAGTCAGGCTCGACGAATGATGGAATTGAAAAAGACACCCACGTAGCTGCATTGGTGTGCCAGGCTTTGCTATGCTTGCCACCATAGACAAGGGCGATTTTTCGAGTGATCTGCAAGAATGTACTAATGAGCATCATTATTTCGTGGAGAAATTGAACTCACGAAGGATCCCCAGTCTCCACCTTGAGTAACTGGAAGCACAAAGTCAGGAGACGCAGCACGAAAAGGTAGTAAGTAACGGTTACGTACCATATTCGTGGTAACCGAGAGCTAGCATAAGCTTGTGAGCGACCTACAACTCTACCGTTAATGGTGCGCAAGGCTGCTGGTGAAGAGACACACCTCAGCATATTGCGCAAGTCTAAAGCCTTGCTTTTTGCTGGCCTCTGAGAACCCGTATCCAGGCAAGCTCAACGCAACGACATGGAAGCTCGGATGTTCCGGCGACGACGCTGTCAACAGCGGGAGAATCTTTCGTACTTCGATGAAGCTTCCCGGCCCTGTGACGATATGTCAGCCACCAACACGCGTGAACAAAATCTAGAGCGCACGCACATCCATGGACAAAAAGTAACGGCACAGCATCTTCGACTTCGCTCTTCTTGTGCACATAATGAATGTTTAGCACCCCAAAACCCTCGACGTCGATATCACGGGTGAACTGAGGGAGCTCCGCGTTGAGAGTGGCTTCTTGAGCCCGCCAGTCAAAGCCGTCTTTCCACCGAGTCACCAGTCGCTGGATGTCTTTCAGCGGCGCGCCATACTTCGTTCCCGAGTCTTCAAGCTCGTCTGGGAATGTAACCAAAGCAAGTCTTTGTTGGAGGAGCTTGAGCTTGTCGTCCGGGATGAATATTTTGAAGGGGGATTCTGGGGGTGCCATAGAGAGTGGGATGCTGTGAGAACGAAAGAAGTGAGTATGTCAGCTTTACTTATATGATGCCCTACGTCATGATTGCTTACACGGATCGTCGGGAAAATGTCAGGGCAGGTGTCGTATGGCATACATTGTCATTGGCTGTGAGTACTAGCATGCAAAGACGCTTGGCCTACCGGTGCTGCTGAGGGAACACACAACATCTAAATATCTATGAATGAAGTATATAAACTTGAGTATCCATTTTTCGAGTCATAAATCGGAAAGTTTCATACCACGATAGCGTCACCGAGTATCATCATGACGAAGAAAATAGTGTGGCGTGGTTCTTCTCAAACCCATCCTCTGAAGGACGGCTCAAGTCGATATCAGTGATCCAACGGACGCCCAAGGTCCTGACCCTGTTGATATTGCCAAGACAATAGAAGTCAAAGATCGTAAGCGAAGTCCGAGTCCGAACTGAGTGATGAGTCAGGCTGAAGCTGAATAAGAAATTTAAGTATTCGTCCGTAACCCTGACATTGCCAAAGGTGTTGGTGTTGGTACAGCAAGGATCGAGTCACGACCAGTCCGGACGCGTCGTGTGCACGTGACGACCAGGCAGAAGCTGGATATCAAATTTAAATATTTCGTTAGAGGGTCACCACGTTTCATAGCGAACAAGGCAGGAGTGCAGATGCTGAGGTAGTTAATGATTTAGAAATCGGACCGATGTTTCCCTGGTCTGCTCAGAACTTCGCACTCAGGACTACTTAGCTAGGCTTATAATGCGAGCAGTTGGAGGATAGTCAGAGGATAGTTTTAAGATCGACAAGAATACTGTGATCTTGACGGGATGTACTGTTGCAGTCCAATATTTCAATATATACACACGCAAACTTCAACTTCGTCCTATCAGCCTGACTTTTACGACTTGGAATACTTATCAGCCGCCGAATATCATTTCACCTATACCCAGTCTTCCCAGGAACAACCCCAAATGCAGGCCCTCCCTTCCCAAACATCTTCCTCACATCATCCACCAGCTCTTGAGGCTTTTCATGCGCCGCAAAATGCCCGCCACCGGTATGCTCGGATTCAAAGACGACATTGCCAACCGTACGATTCTAGCTGTGATGATGGCTCAGTACAGGATTCGCAGCAAGTATAGCAGATACGTACAGACGAGGCACGGAGCTCAGCTCCTTGGGAAAGTATGATAAGCCTTGTGGAATAGCGGGTTTTTGTCCCAACACGGCCATGTCAGACGAAAAAACCTCGTAATAAATACGTATGGACGCCGTGGGACCTGACCTCGAGAACAAATAGATCGATATCCACGTCAGTACTGGAAAGAACACGCGCTTTCAGATGAGTAAAATAGAGACGAAACTTCTAGCCGGCGTACCTTCATCGTCATCCCAAGGGTACGCATCCGTCCAATTCACCAGCTTCTCATAAATCCACGCAAGGAGACCGACCGGGGAATCAGCGAGCGAATATCCCAGTGTTTGAGGTTGAGTAGACTGTTCTGCAAAGTAGCCTGATCCTTTAGTGTTGAACCACTGAGAGTGCGCCATCCCGGCTTTCTCAGCAGCTGTATACGGTGTCAAGAGGTGGCGGAGGTATAGTACGGGCTCGTACAGAGTCGGGGCACGACCTCTGTAGACAATCAGACTCTTCGAATGATGGAGTTGAAAAAGACACTTGCAAGGGCATATTGGTATGCCAGGCCTTGCTATGCTGGCCACCATAGACAAGAGCGATTTTTCGAGTGATCTGCACGAGTACATTGATGAGTAGCTGTGTTTCAGGGAGAGACGGCACTCACGAAGCCTCCCAAATCTCCACCTTGAGTAACTGGAAGCGCAAAGTCAGGAGGTGTCGCACGAAAAGGGACTAACAGTCACGCACCATATTCGTTGTAACCGAGCGCCAGCATGAGCTTGTGAGCGACCTATAATGTGCCTTAACGTCAATAGTGCTCCGGGCCTGTTCGTGAAGAGGCATACCTCAGCGTACTGCGCGAGCTTGAATCCTTGCTTCTTGCTTGCCTCAGAAAATCCATAACCCGGCAAGCTCAGCGCAACAACATGAAAACTCGGGTGTTCCGGCGATGATGCGGTCAGCAGGGGGAGAATCTTTCGTACTTCGATGAAGCTTCCTGGCCCTGTGATGATGTATCAGCCACCACCACCACACACACAGATTCTGGAGGAGAATACGCACATCCATGAACGAACAGTAACGGTACAGCCCCTTTGACCTCACTCTTCTTATGCACATAATGAACGTTCAGCACTCCAAAACCTTCGACGTCGATATCACGAGTGAACTGAGGGAGCTCCGCGTTGAGAGCGGCTTCTTGGGCCCGCCAATCGAAGCCGTCTTGCCACCGAGCAACCAGACGCTTGATATCCTTCAGCGGCGCGCCATACTTCGTTCCGGAGTCTTCAAGCTCATCTGGGAAGGTCACCAGAGCAAGTTTTTGTTGGAGGAGCTTGAGCTTGTCGTCCGGGATGGATATTTTGAAGGCACTTTCTGGGGAGGCCATGCTGTGAGAACGAAGACCACTGGGTATGTCAGCTTTACTTTATATGATACCTCGCATCATGGACGCTTACCCCACGGCCCGTCGGACGGGCAACAAAGTCACGCTTCTGGAAGAAAAATAGAAGTTTCTGTTGCCTTTAATGTTTATTCAGGTACAGTCGCCTCTGTTATAACTCAGTGTTAGGACCCACTGAACGCTACGGGTCAGGCGAGCGATGGGTTATGGTACTCGTTTCCCTGCAAACGAAGTTGGTGGAACCAAAGATCTATGCCAGAGTTGGGTGAGTCAGATTTTTAGGCCAAGACGGACGTAAGTGCCGGTTATGACGTCGAACAGATGGACAAAGCCAAGTGTTGCCCGTAGACACCGTTCTTATTCTCACACTTCGGCCCGATTATACACAACTGCATTCGTCACTGAATACAACATCAGTACACACCGTCAAAGTCATCGAACCAATGCCAATATCCGCGAATAGTCCTCCCGAACACTCTGGAACGTCTCCTCCAGTTTCTCCAATCGCTCTTCCTTCTCTAGCTGCGCAAGAGTTTCCTATCGACAGTGTAGATCAGACTCAAGTTCGATGGGAAGGAAGGGTTAATACTCACAAAGTTAAATCTGTAGAGGCGTTCTTTGACTTGCAGTCGATATGCTCGAAGGTCAGCTGGGTCCAATCGCGACTGAATGAGCATCTCAACGAGGCGATTGAATTGGCGCTGTCAGATCTTCATCAGTCCCAACTACACCTGCCTCGGGAGGAAGGTGACACGTACACCAGCGATCTTGAGGCTCTGCCTCCACCTTTCCATCCAGTGCTTATCAACCGGAGGTCCCAGGTTCCCTTTACTCGAATATCCACCTCGACCACTCCGACCGCCTTTACCCACTCCACCAACACGGCCTCCACCGTGCGACAGGCCATCACCTCCAAACCCTTCTTGCATGAACTTGTCGTTGGCAAAGAGCATCTTCAAGTCGTTTTTGTCCCGAAGGTCTTCGAACGCCTCAGCTGGATCTTCTACTGTCAGTTCCGCTATATGGTCTTGAGAGAGAACGTATTGATAGAGGGCGGAGTATAGTGCAGCTGTGGAGCATTCAGTGAACCAAGATCGCGTTTAGTGAAACGACGCTTACATCCATGGCTTTGTCGTTGATAGGGAGTGAGGATGACGAATTGGCTGGGAGATGTCGTAGATGAATGCAAAGAGAACTACGCCCAGTCACATACCTCAGCCGTAACCTGACTTTCTCTGGGAAATGGTAGAAGTTGTACAAGGACGAGTAGCCGACGAAGTGATATGTAAAACTGCCGTCCCGCCGTCTGCGCTTCTCGTACCTAGAAAGAAAGCTGTGAGTGCAATACGAGCCGGCAACAGAAGACGACCTACAGAACGACAAATTCCCATTGATCCTCCTCTTCGTTGATATAAGAGCCGCCCTCAATATATAACAGAATAAAAAGTTGCATTCTTCGATGATATTCCCTGAATCCGGGAGTGTCCCATGTCGTCTGAGACATAGCACTTAGCAATTCAGACGCTGGAAGGGGTGGTATGGCAACTCACATGATAGACCTCATAATCGACGGTCTCTGTACTCTCAGAGGCCTTACCCTTTCCTTTATGCGTCGGGAGCGGTCGTGAATATGAATGAATTAGCTTCCCGAGAGGCTTGAAGGATGTCGCATCTTCTTCCACCTTGGCAGCAAATGCAGCCTCGTCCGTGTAATACCCTGCGAAAGATAAGCTGGAGGTTTGGTGGCTAGACCAAACAACGTACCTGGAGGTATGAAATCCTTCAAAGTACCTTCAACATCATCCACTGTAGACGACGCTCCCAGCTTCTGTGTATACTTGACGGCCAAGAACTGGGCCAGAGATCCCGAAGCGAATCGCATCTGAAAGGAAGGGTCAGCGTGACAATTCTGCTACAATATTCGAGATACGCACGTCAATGGTGAGGTCCTTGTATCCATAAATTTTCTCGTCTTCTCCAAATATCTGTTAGGATGATACTGAGCCACTCGAGCCGCGACTAGCCGAAATGATGCAGCACGTACAGGATAGGTGAATGACGGATGAAAGTCTTCATAGGATTCGTCGTCGCCCAGCACTTCTTCGTCTGACGCTGCTCGTACTGCATGAAAGACCTTAGCCCACGTTTTCTTTCTCGTTGCCGCTGTGCTCACCCAGTGAAAGTTTGAGAGCGCTATTTGAGTCCGAGGCCCATTCAGCCATTTTTCGAGGGTGTCGCGCGTGAAAGGGGAAGCACGAAGCAATGAAGAGACAGATAAATGTCTTCTTGGGTCTTCGTCGCGTAAGTCTGGACTTGTTGGATGAATAAGAAGCGCGGTGGTAGCAGAAGAAAGAAATGGCGCGCGTCCAGAAACGGTTGTTTGTTTGTGACACCGGTAAATACCGAGATTATCACGTGGAGAGCGTGGGCCGCTGTCACAAGTCGTCACGGTAACAGCATCTGTTTTTGCCTGCCTTCTGAATGCTGGATTCAAGCCTCTCAGTGGTAGTTAAGTATCACAAACTCGTGTGCAGTCAGGTTGATGCAAACAACGGATCTTAAATAGCCCACTCATGGAACGATGGCGGCCATCACAAACCAACGCGTACCCCGCACACCGGGCCAGTGTGACGGTTCCGAAACGTCGTATCATGTTCTTTATAGCATTCCAAGTATCGTCGCCGCCATCTTCCTCGTTAGGGGAACTTTCCAAGGTGTGGGGACCGGTTCGAGTAGCAATCATAACCGGTCCGAAGATTGGATCTACTTGGACCCACACGCTATTACGTGATACTCTCATGTTCCCGTAGATCGCTCTGGACCACCCTCCTTTCAGTCCTTTGCGGCCAAGTAGGGCTAAGAGCAAGCTCGGTCAAGAGTAATATCCTTCAGCCTTTGCCGCCCCGGCGCCAAAACAAATGATAAGACGGTTCCATGGGCTGTAGTTATCTCCGCCAACGACCAATGAACGTGCCCCACGACAATAACTGATAAG